CGGTGCAGAGGGTGGTCCCTGGCACAGGTCTTCCTCTCTGGGTTCTCTGGGGAGCCAGCTCTGCCCTAGGTTTGTGCTACCTTGTCATCGTACCCCGGGTCTCCCCATCCTCTTGAAAAACAAAAACAAAAAGATGGTACAAGAGAGTAGCCGTTGTAATTGAGAAGACTCCTTAGCTTCCTCTGCTAGGCTACGGCATTAAGATTCTGGAAAGGTAAGACGCCTTCCATGTCTAATTACTATAAATGTTCTTATGGTTTAGAAAACATTAGCTTAATGACAACAGCTTGAGAATTGCTCAGGGAGTGTTAGGAAAAATGAGAAATTTTCGACACAGCCCGCATTTATTATCACTAGGGGAAGGAAGGACTTACAGAAGGAACTCTGGCATTTGACAGCTCTTGAATGTTTTTTGTCTTTCTTCTTTCTCCTTCTCTGGGAGGCCAGACATAACCCTTTCAGCTGAGTTTTCATAACTGCCTGAGGACGTGGCTGTTGAATATTTTTTTCAGCTTGCTTTCTTTTTCTTCTACACCCAAAGCAGCGTTTAGGCCCCAGTCAATGGTGTGCAAATGATAGGATTCCCATGACAGGATGAGAGGCTAAGGACCTGGAAAATGTCATTAATGATAAGTCACTGCCCTCAGGGACAAGCTGGAAGGGAGCCCAGTTCAACTTGGCAAGAGAGGAGGGTAGCCTGAGCCCCACTGGGCAGAGCGAGCAGCTGCCTCTGGCCAGCACATTTCCTCAGTCCAGAGGTATGTCCTCGAGAAGTCAGTCTTCATAGCTACGGTAACGATTCGAGGTGCACAGCTCCCACTGGGTGGGAAGATGCTAGGGTGTGCAAGCCAGATGCCGTGCGTGTGTTAGGGGGTGTATATGTGGGCTGCGGACGGGAAAAACTGGGACCAGTTGTATTATTTCTCCTCTGGACTTCCCAAGCAGGCTCCCTGTTCAGGTGGCTTGTCTGGGAAGGACTAAATCCTCAGTCCCGCTCAATGCGATGCAGTGATGTACCTACATGGTCACCTGCAGAGCGTGTGTGGTGTGTGTGTGTGTGTGTGTGTGTGAGAGAGAGAGAGAGGGAGAGGGAGAGACAGACACACGGTAAAAGAAAACGATAGAGCTAGAGATACTCTGAGAAAAAAAGGCTTGAGCTTCATGTGAACTAGTTCAGACAAAGGAATTTTTGCCATATGTTTGTCAGGTAAGAGCTTCCATTTTATGCAAACTCTCTGTTAATTAGGGTATAAGCTAACTTCTGATAAAACGGTTGTCTGTATTTGTTTCTGAACTCAAAGGGTATTCTCCTAACCATCTCATTGGTATGGCATGATTGGTGACAGTGGAGTGTCAGAGAGAAGGAATTGAGAGCTTCTGCTTCTCACTTCAGCCTGAGTCCTCTCCTCCCTAGAAGGTTCTCTGGGAAGGGGCAACCATATGGAACATGCAGAAAGTAAGCTGAGAAAAAAGCTACATGTTTGCAAGGGGGTTTGGGCTTGAGCTCTCAGTTCATAGAACCCTGGGAAAGCTAATGGGACTGTATCAGCCTAATTTTTAATTCCCCCCCAGCTGGTTATACCCAGTCTATCACATCCGCAGAAGCAGGGGTACGGAACTACAGAGCGAGGGAGGAGAGAGAGACTGTAAGGAAAAATGCAGTTGTTTCACAATCTGAGGCCTAAAATAGCGGAGGCTGCAGATGGGCTTGAGCTCTGCTGTGGACAGGGAACAAGGGAGGGCAGAGTGGTATGGAAAACAAGCCTTGGGCCAACTTTCCACTTCATCTGCATGGCTAAGAGCAGGAAAGGGAGCTACGGCCAAGTGCATCCCACTCCCAAGTGGGCATTTGACTGCACGGAGACCCCGCTCAGCAGTGAAAGTGCCGCTATCAGTATCTTGGAGTCTGATCATCAGACCAGTCTGAGATGTCACTCCTGTTTCCAGTGGTGTTTGCAATGGGAAGGGAAGAAGCCAGTGTGTGTATGGGATGGGGGGTGGGGAGGGTAGAAGAAGGAACCTTAGAGCTTGAGGTTTGTGGAGGACCTCAGAAATCATCTCGTCCAAACCACACGTGTTGGAGATGAGGAAATATATTGAAATGAAGTGAATTCTACCAGCAGATCCAGGATTAGAACCAACGTCTTTGGCCTGGAAACCCTTCTAGTTGCCCTAAACCACTTGCAGCTGTGAAAACCACTGAGGTGACTCTGCAAATCTCAGGAAGAAAGAGCCTTGTTGGGAAATCATGTGCTGCACGAGTCCACCTCACACTCTGGACCACTTTTTAGAGACCCATCATAAAAACGAATATCCCACTAATGGACAGGCTACCCCACAGTTTAAGAATCACGACATTGCTTTTATGATGTGAATTTATATGTTTATAAGGATATTTTTTCTGAGCATGTCACATAGTTCTGGATACTGTAGAGAAGAATTGTTATTAAAATAGAGCTAGTGATGGCTCTTTTTCTTTTAAGTTTGGGCTTTGAGACCAGGCCCACTGAAGTATATAAGAAATCAACTACTGTATGAAACGTGGTGGTTTTAAAAGCTCACAACTGCTTTTTCACAAACCACTGTCCTCATTTAGCAAACCCGTGGAGATGGATAAGGTAGACTCTTCCCAACTTAATGACTGTTCTTCAGAATAATTTCATAAAAATAGACCTAGTGCAGCCCAATTATTTCCACTCTTGTCTGAAAAGCAAGTGCAAGGTCTGAAGCATGCCTTCAGGAACTAGCCCTGGGGGGTGGAATTAGTGTTGCTATGATTCTCTTGTATTTTTGATTATGAAACCTATTTATGAAAATACAGGCAGACCTCAGAGATACTGCAGGTTTGGTTTCAGGCCATCACAATAAAGCAAATATTGCAAAAAAGCAAGTCACGTGAATTTTTTAGTTTCCCAGTGTATATAAAATTATGTTTACATTATACTGTAGTCTATTACCTGTGAAATAGCATTGTGTCTAAAAAAATGTATCTACCTTAATTAAAAAATCCTTTATTGCTAAAAAATTAGACTATTATCTAAGCCTTCAGCAAGTCAAAATCTTTTTTGCTGGTGGAGGGTTTGAAATATTGTGAGAATTAGCAAAACGTGATCAGATGCTGTTGGAACAATGGTGCTGATAGACTTGCTCAATGCAGGATTGCCACAGACCTTCAGTTTGTAAGAAACACAGTATCTGTGAAGTGAAATGAAGTGAAACGCCGTAAAGTGAGGTATGCCTGTAAACGGAAAAGGTGTTGGAGGAAAAGCCATGAGTTGGGAGAGGTTGATGAGTGAGGAAAACTTACTATATGTAAGCAGTTGATCTAAAACTGGACCATGATACAAACACAACAAAATCATTATAAGTAGAGACTCCAGGATTTTAGAGTTCTGTTGGAACCCGTCGATCTCTAGAGAGATCAAGATCTAGCTTATTCCTCATTTGACAGACTATTTGGGGTACACCTTCATTTTGTTGGTATACATAGAGAGGTCATGAAGTTGTCCTCCTATATGATAATATCTGTTACTGTATATTAGTCAGAAAATGAGATCCTACACCCCTACTTGCTCCAATTGTAAGGGTCAAGATTTTACCATCTGCTGAATTCAACAGTAGGAAACATGAAGGGGTAGCATGAGAAATCTTAGACTTCAAATCCAGATTTCAGGGTTTAAGTTCTGAACTTGCCACTTCTTAGATAAGGAACCTTGGGCAAGTTAACTTTTGCCTTGCGGTTTTCCCAGTTGGAAAATGGGGTCTGTTTTTACCAATGTCAGAGAATAGGCGTGATGATTAAATGAGAGAACGTGGGCATAAACGTGCTTAACAAAGAGCTTGGCACGTGGGAAACTCAGCGAGTGATGGTACTTAAATATATGAGCTTCTGGGACGTTATATGCATTTTAAAATAGTAGCTTCATTTCTCTCCCTTTCCTCCTTGAATCCAAGGGTCTGCTTCTCTTAGGATCGCATTGCTAGTGGTAGCAATCATCATTGTACGCTTGTTAAATGGTCTGATAGGCAAAACATGTTTTTCATATTTTATGGCCCTTATCACCATATAAGCACAAATATTTTCTGTGACTAAGATGCTCTCAGTACAGGAAACAAAATTCCTGACGGGGACCAAGATAATCTAAGAGGCTTCTCCATATGTTATCAGAATAACATGTTAGATTGAAATCTTCAGAATATGGAAAAGTCAAGAGTTCTTTTCTTTATTAAAGTTATTTGGGAAGGTGGTCTGAGAGTAACATCAATGAGGACCCCAGCCTAGCAGCAAGCTAATTATTTCTGGAAACTACATAAATCCTTTCATTTAGTGAAACGTATTCTCATTATGAGCGTAACACGACTGACTTGCCAGCGCCATGGTGATGAGCCCCACTCTTGCCAAAGCTCCCTTGGCACATTGCTAGAAGAGATCACAATTCTTCTGAGAGGTTCAGTATCACATGGAGGATACACATAGACTGTTTGAAAGACAAATTGGTGGGCTTCCCTGGTGGCGCAGTGGTTGAGAATCCGCCTGCCAATGCAGGGGAAACGGGTTCGAGCCCTGGTCTGGGAAGATCCCACATGCCGCGGAGCAACTGGGCCCGTGAGCCACAACGACTGAGCCTGCGCGTCTGGAGCCTGTGCTCCGCAACAAGAGAGCCCGCGATAGTGAGAAGCCCGCGCACTGCGATGAAGAGTGGCCCCCGCTTACCACAACTAGAGAAAGCCCTCGCACAGAAACGAAGACCCAACACAGCAAAAATAAAATAAATAAATAAATTTAAAAAGAATAACAACCCAAGCCAAGCTGTAGGATGTTATTTGAAATTCAAAATAGATTAAGTCTCAGGAAGATAAATAAACCAAGTGCCCACTGTTTTTTTTTTTTAAAAAAAAAGAAAGACAAATTGGTAATCATCTAATCCGTGTGCTGTGAGCCTTTTAAAAAATTACATGGAGGAGGCGCCTAGAATGAAAAAGTATTCAGTCTCTTCCCATTCTACTCTTCCTAGCCATTTATTAGGCATTTCCTGTATGCCAGGTACTCTGCTAGCCTTTAAAAAATATTATCTAATATAATTCTTACAACAACTCTGGTATGAATTATTCTCTTGATTTTAAAGATGAGGAAACAGGAGGTTAAGAGAGGTTCAAAATGCAGCTCATAAATGGTGGAGTTCAGATTTGAATTTAAGTCTGACCCCAAAGACCAGTTACACTAAATTACTTTGCAAGTGGGTTTGTGGTACATGGGTGGGCAGAGGCCTTTACCTTTAACCTGTGGTCAGATGCTGGTCTTATAGTCAACAAGTCCTGTGGCTACTGAAATTGTCTTAGAGGTATGCGTTTGGACAAAGATTTTCCTTGGCTGCTATGTTTCAGGTTGCATATCCTGCAGAAGTTCTAGAATAAATTGGAATAGGAGTCTTACCTGGTTGCCTCAAAGCAGGAATGGAACCAGACTCACAGGGAACTCTGTTGTCCCAACTCATTCATTTACCAACGTTTAGTCGGTGTATTCAGTGCCTACTTGCTGCTAGGCAACTGCAACACATTTGTGAGCAAGATACATAAGGCTCCAGCTCTCCTTACACTCTGGTTTATATTTTAGGCTCTGAAAATTCCAGAATCGTGCTGGATTTCCAAAGAGGAATGGAGTTTGCCAGTATGAAACTCTGTAGTGGAGATAGTCCAATGATTTGATTGCTTTTGTAGACTACAATATTTCTTCTCTATTCCTCGAGTCTAAGTAAATGTCAGGAATACTGAAAAAGTTGAAACTGACATGTTTCTATCAACAAATCCATATTGTTTGGATGCAGAGGGATAAAACAGGTTTAGAAATCACCCACCCTCCAGGTATGCTGCTCTGCTTGTATCATTTGTGACCTATGTTGGTGCTTTGGGTATTCATTGGATTCTTAATGTGTCAGAACTGTAAGTGCAAATGCAGATCTCGACTCTTGTTTATTTCTGCCCTGGAAGGTCAGATAAACATGTCCAAAGGTTCTCTGCTAGACAAACATTATACTTGTTATAAAGAGTCTTTTTTCAGTAACAGAAACAATGGCCCCCTCCAAAAACCAAACAAAAGCCCCCAGAACTGGGTTTTCTGAAATCTACCCCTCCCACGAACCCCCAGGCAAGTATGTAGCTGACCATTTCTTTCTTTATCTCCTGAGGCCTGGAAGAGGAGGGCAGTCAGCATAAAACTTCTACTCTGAGAGGAGGCTGGAACACAGTGGCTAAACTCAGGAATTCTGGAGCTGGAATGCCTGAGTCCAAACGTTCGGCTCTGCCTCTAACCAGCTGTGTGACCTTGGCAAGTTACTTAACCTCTCTGTGCTTCAATATTCTCCTCTATAAAATGTGGATGATAAGAAGAGTACCTACCTCATTGTTGCCCTGTGAAGACTAAAGGAGTTAAAACATGTAAGTCATTTAGAAAGGTGCCTGGCACACAGTGAGTGTTCAAAGGTAGCTATTATTGATTATGAGGTTCATTGTGTTGTGAATCTTCTTAATGTGTCCTCCCAGACAAATACCCGTGAGTCCCTACAACAAGCCACGTACTTAGGACTAGTCTGAGAATTCTCTGACCTGCTGTATTCAATAAACCACAGGACATGTCCGTGAGATGCTTCCATCTGGAGGGTCAAGGGGCAGATGGGGGTAGGAGAAGGGAGAGAAATAGTGTGTTGCTTTCTGTTGCCAGCACTAACTGGACCCTTGTTTAAAAGCTTGGGAGTCTAGAATCCTTCATTATAGTAGCCTCATCATTTGGGGAGGAAAGTAGGAAGTAAAACACAAGCTAAGGAGCTATACATTTTCCTTGTTGCATGTACTGGAACTTGAGGCCATTTGTTAGCTAGAATTTACCTAGGACTTAAAATGTGGCAAATTCTGTTTTGGAAACCGAGGTCTGTATAGTGGTTTAGGTAAAAGTCTCACTTAAAATTCATAAGACATTTGCACCTAGTGAGGGAAGCAGTATGTAACTGTATTTAAAAGCTACTGCTCTTTCTAAATTGTGCTTTTAAATGTTCCAGGAGCAAAGGCCCCAGTAAGGAATCATTTTTGCTAAGCACAGCTAAGCAGGCAACTCCTGGGCCCGGGGAGGAGGGCTATTTGAATGAATCAGCAACTTGGTTCCTTCATGAGTTTTTAGGTTGAGTCATGATTAATGGCTAGAATAGCCATTTTGGGGAAACTCTTGGGGATTTCAAAAGTCTCAATTTTCCTCTTTCTGATGCAGAAAAAGAAATAGAGTATGGAATCACCACAGGTAACACAACCCCCAGGAACAGATAGCAGTTTTCTTCACCCATAGTATGAATATTTAGTGAGAACTAGCCTCAATTTAACTCTGTCAGCAGGAGGACACACCCTGTGTTATATAACACGCAAACTACAAATAGTTAGGAGAGGAGCCCTGGCCTCAGGCATGGAATTATCTCTTTTTTCGAGAAAATAAAAATTTTCCTAAACCAAGGTTTAGTTAAGTGACGATGGAAACAAAATTTAGTGGCAAGAGGTACTGTTCTTCACCTATCTTTGTTTCAATATTATTTCAAAATACAGTCAGCCCTCCCTAACCGCAGGTTTCACGGATAAGGAGGGAGGAGGGACTGTACTCGGCCATTTTCTAATATATCAGGCACTTGAACATGCATGGATTTGGGTATCCATGAGGGGCCCTGGAACTAATCCCCTATGGATACCGAGGGACAACTGTACCTGCTCATCATGTGATCTTAGGTAAGTTACTTTCCTCTCAGTGCCTTAGTTCCTTAATATGTAAAATGAGATTAATAGTAGCATCTATGGCATGGGGGTCTTGTGAGGATTAAATGAACTGACACATGCAAAATGCTTAAAATAGTACCTGCTCGCTCACAGTATTTGCTTTTATTGCTATTACAATATACATTTATGTCTAATAAGCACTGTGTTTAGATGACCAAATACATTATGCTTCTAATAGTTCCTCTGAAGAGAAACATCATCAAGCAGTGTGGAAGTACACTTTATCTCATTTTCCTCTGTCAACCATGCCGAATGGGGACCTACTTGGTCTGGTCCACACACCCACAGCAGACTAGGCTTTGGAGAGGAAGGGAGTAGTCTGTGTAGGGCTGATCTTTTATTTTTCAACCTATTCAGCAGTGGCAAACATCTCTCACACACAAAGACAAACTCTAACTGAATGATTTGTTTTATTAATCAGCATCACTTATTCCCACAAGTATTTGGAATGGCATTAGAAAACCACTCTAGACTGTTACGTATGTATCCTGCTTGGGATGTTAGACGAGGATCTTAACTTTAGAAATTCAGTAGCACCATAAGGATAGATGCAAAACTCACCTCTCCTGTATCTATAATAATTCTCTACTTATTGTTCCTGGAGAGACACACAGGTTGCACTGTTCCTGTCACATCTGTCTTGAAAGAATGTTTGAAAGATGAAAATGGTAAAATAGCCGAGAAAATATCCAAGTGGTATCCTGATTAAGCAGACCACTGAGCCAGTTTTTGTTTAATGGAAGCGGAAGTAGGCTCTTTTCTGCTTATATCAAGGCTTCCTATAAAGTGATCAAACATCCTTGTTTTCACCTTCTTGTCCCAGCTTCTTTGAGGTTTGGGCTCCTACCGAGAGCAGCATAACATAGGGAGAGGGAGTCCTATTTTTCTCAGAATGATGAAAGGAAAATAAGATGGTGAGTCAGCCGGCCAGCAGGCGACTACTGTGTAGGGAACACTCGGTACTGCTCGCCCTCTCCTCCACCTGGTATCCTGGCTGTTCCTGAATTAGCTCCTGTTGCTGCGTACAATGCAACAGACTTGATAGAGGGGTTCTAGGCTCATCCCACCTCCCTCATCTCCTGAAATTCCTGCCATTGACTGTCCTCTATGGCTAACTCAGAAATATCAGAAACTGCATGAAGAGCATGGCTACTCTAAGAAGGGACTGGAAGCCTGGAACTCCCCCTGCCCAGGGCCCCATAATGATGCACTAGAAAAGTTGACAAAGAGGCCTTTGACTTAGGAGAGAAGAGATGTTACCTCACAGTGATGCATTAAAACGACAGAGCTGAGTGTTGCTGCCACCAGTGCAGAATTAAAATGGTCAGAGTTAAATGGGATAGAAGGACGTGTAGGGAGATAGCCAAGAGGAAAGAGTAATTATGCACAGTTGGTCAGTGTAATTGCATTTATACAGTCTGGAAGGTTTGCCACCGAGCCGTGCGGGGTGTACCTCCACTCAGCCTTTCTCAACTGAACACAGAAAAGGATTTGGGTGCCGATTTTCTCAGATTCCCTAAGGATAATATAGAACATTATAGATGAATAAGAGAGACATTAATTTATGACATACAGTGGATGCCTTAGGGCAATAAATCTTAATTCTCTCAGGTTAAGAAAGTGTCCCCACTGTTCTTGGCATAGCATGTTTCAAAGATGGGGCTAGTAATATAGACAGCCCATGGTTGGGGATGCCTCTTTGGTCAGGGGGTAGGATATGTTTTCTTCAACCCCTCGACTCAGTTCAGGTTTGGGCATATATATAATTGTGAAATGCCATTCATTCATTCACTCAACAAGTAACTGAATCTCTTGCCCTTTTCTAGGCGCTGTGCCAAGAGCGGGAGTTAGCATGGTAAACAAGAAACAGACAAACACAGGTAAATGATACGCTATGTTGGGGAAAAACTCCAAGGGACCAGGAGGGGGAAAAATAATGGGTTTGGGAGTGTGGATGGTGGGTGTGTCAGGAGGTAGGCATACTTTAAAGAGGGATGTTCCTAAACATACAAACATCGCCTCAGCTTGGTAGAGTCACCTATCTGGCAGGTGGTGGTAGCCATTTACGCAATGTTTATGCATTTATGCAGAGAAAAAAATGTTACCTCACTGCTTCACAGTTATTTCATAAACACAGACAGTTCCTTCTCAGGATCTCTGCCATGGTGCTGGGAATCTCTGCATTGCCAGCACATAAGAGAGGGCCTGGGACATAGCAGGCATGCAATAATGTTCAATAACATTAATGGATAAATGAAAGGGACTTTTAGAACCATAGGATGTTGAATCTGTGGTGTCATAGAATAAGTCAGTTCCACATTTTCTCTACTTATTGTTGATTTTTTGGCAATAATAAAGCATTTTCATTTTTTTCTTGATCTTATTTTCTGAAATCAAAAAAAATCACAGAAAATGTAAACTCCTGAAAAAAGTTGCATTTCTCTTCCATATAAAAGGGGAAAAAATCCTCAGGTTTCTGGTGTAGTGAGTATTATGTGTGTGTTGATTTTTGCCTGTGTTGCTTCAATTCCTGTCTTGTACTTCTGTGGCGATATGGCATTGGATATCTGACCTTAGAATGCTTTCCAAAACATTCTACCAATTTATTTCCATATTTATAAAGAAGAACCTTGCAATATTTTAGAGCTTTTTCTTTAAACAACTCTAAAGCTTACTTGTGACATAATTTTCTCCTTTACTACTAAAAGAGCTATGCCAAGTGTATGAAACAATCATATTGACATTTCTTGAATTTCTTTTACAACAAGAAAAGTTATATATTTATTACTCTGGTAGAATGACATGTAAATAATTAAATTCTAGAAGATCAATAGTTTGAGACATCAGTAGGACTGGGTGATGGTGAAATTTTATGTGTCAATTTGGCTAGACTATGGTGCCCAGTTGTTTGATCGAACACTGCTTTAGATACTGTTGTGAAGGTACTTTGTGGATGTGATTAACATGTACAGTTCCAGTTGACTTTAGGTAAAAGAGATTACCCTTTATAATGTGACTGGGACTCATCTAATCACTTAAGACCTTAAAAAACAGAAACTGAGGTTTCAAGAAAAGAAGGAATTCTGCCTTAAGACTGGAACATAGAAATCTTGCCAGAGTTTCCAGCCTGCTGCCCTGCTCTGTCGATTTTGGATTCAAGACTACAGCATCACCTCTTGCCTGAATTTCTAGGTTGCTGGTCTGCCCTAGGGACTTCTTTTTAATTGAAGTATACTTCACTAACAATATTATATTAGGGATTTTAGGCTTACCAACTTGCATAATTGAATAAGCCAATTCCTTAAAATAAATCTTTCCATATATATAAAATAGGATATACCATATATAGGTATATACCACACATAGGATATATATATGTGTGTGTGTATCTCCTATATCTATATCTGTCCATGTCTCTCCATGTATATGGATATACACATATACATATTTTTATGGATTCATATACATATATTTATGGATACATATATATATATGAATGATTCTGCTTCTCAGAAGAACTCTGACTGTTGCAGACTGTTAGGTTTGACTGTTTGATTCTTCTCTCCTGCAATCCAGTTGGACCAGGGAAAAATTGGTAACAGTTTCTAGATTTCTACTGCTCTGATGTGAGAGCAGAGAGATTAAAAAGGAAACCAAGGCAGTGTCCCACTCTTAAAGCTGCCCCCTCCCGAAAGGAAAAAAGCTTGGTGCTGGGGAGAGGAACACTGAGTACACCCATTCATTTGATTCATTTTGTTGTATATTTGGCAAAACAGAAAAATATGGGTAAGATTTTGAATCTTCCTAAACCATCATACGGGTCTGGCAGGTATTCTGTGAGTCATGGGCCTGTCCTGGAGGGAGTGGCGGTGCTTCAGTACTTCTCTATATGATGGGGCTCAAGGGGCACTGTCACTCGCAGCATGCATCTCATGACAGCATTTTTGTCATCTCTAGTACATGATGTGAAATGATGTGAAGAGGAAAACTAGAAAAGGTATAGTGGATATAGTTCTAGAGTCACAGATTCAAATATTTTGTAGCTAAGATTGATTTTGAGATATTTCTTGGTATTGGGGTATTGGTACTTGAGGTAACTCACTTTGTTCTATTGCCCTAGCTTGTATCTGTAATAGAACGAGCCAAACATCTGGAGATTCCAAAGGTTGATATCCAGCTGGTTGCATATATCATTGGTTGTATATCTCATTGTAGTATATACCATTTTTCACCACTACCCATCACTTCACTCACTGATGGTAACAAAATGTCTCCTAAATAGCTAGAACCAAGATTCAGAAGCAGAGTTTCTGTTTCTCCCCCATCCTCTCATCAATTTCACGTCATCCTACCCTGGACCTTCCATCCTGCAGCAGCATTTTTTCCTTTCTTGTCCCATGTTCTGTCAACCTGGGTGGCAGGGTTAGCTCCATACTCTGTCCCTTTGTTCTTAGGATTTATTTCCATTCCCTTTTCCCCAAGACCAACTTTACTCCACATTTCTAGTAGCATACATTTTACCTACCTCTCGTGTAATTCATTTTTCTTGTATTTATACAAGATCTAAATAGACCCTGAAATCTTGATCACTGAAAGGCTGGGTTGGGGAAGGATAGTGTAATTCAGGTCGTGGAGTTTCATTCCAATTTTACAGAAGATAAATGGGGTTACATGCCTTTCCCAGGACACACAACTCCTACTACTTAAACTTATACCTGGTCACTACTCTCTAACTTGATTGCTGACATCAGCACAAAGAATGTTGATGATTTATTAGTCTAGGGTATGGAAAATTGCTTGAATTGTCTCTCCTAGATCCTTGGGCTGTGACAAAGTGAGAGAGTGGCATGGACATATATACACTATCAGATGTAAAATAGATAGCTAGTGGGAAGCAGCCGCATAGCACAGGGAGATCAGCTCGGTGCTTTGTGACCACCTAGAGGGGTGGGATAGGGAGGGTGGGAGGGAGGGAGATGCAAGAGGGAAGAGATATGGGAACATATGTATATGTATAACTGATTCACTTTGTTATAAAGCAGAAACTAACACACCACTGTAAAGCAATTATACCCCAATAAAGATGTTAAAAAAAAAAAGAATGAATAATAGAACTAAAATGAATCTTAAGATATCTAATAGACCTCACTGCTTTCAGGTAGTTTCTAGACCAGAAATGGCAAAACAAGTTTAGACTCATATAAATAGTCTAATTAATTGCAGGTGACTGCCTGAAAGCCTATGTTGATATGAATTCTGGGATCAAATCCAGGCTCTGGATTTGCCATGATTGATTAGTGATGTCTGACACGGGCAAGGGATAGGAAAGTGCTGATACTCCTGATACATAACTTCCATTCCTGGTTAAAATCAGCAGAGATGGAGAATTACTTCTTCAGTTTAAAATGACTTCACACAATGAGAAAGGGTTCCTGGTGAGCAAAGGCAGGGGAAAATCCGTCTTGCTACAGAGGAAAGAGGATGTTGACAAATAGCCATATTTTTTGAGTATGATAACTTTTCCAAAAATGTGCTAAAATAGAACAGTACTCTTGAGATGATTATATGGACTGTGAGAGAAACTTTGAAGCCTAGTAGAATGCCTTTGCTTGTTTTCCTAGCTCAGAAGGACACAATACTTAGAGTGAAAATATGAAGTCAATGAAAATTGGCATTCTTCACAATTGAGGGAAGTTGATCTTTCCATGGTCAGAAAACATTCTTAAATTGGACTTTCAGTACTCTAAATTTAAACATAAATTTAAAAAAATACTGTTTTCCATTTAATGGAAAATCCATTTCCTCATAAAAACAGAACTTGCTGTTCTTGGTTCAGATAGCTTCAGAGACAGTTTTTTTTTTTGTTGTTTTAAAGTATGGTTACCCTATACTTAGCTTAGAAATAAACAGAAGCCAAAATAAATTTCTTTCAGAGACGTTAGCCTGGAAATATGATTCTGTTGTGGCTAAGGTCCAACAAAACATCTGAAGGACTAATGATGTCTTTGTAAATGCAGGCAAATGGATTTACAACCCCCTTCATAAAACGTGCATAGTGACAGCAATAATAATCACACCTACTTTTTGAATAATAAGCCACCATTTATTATCACTTATTATTATATGCCTGCTTGCTTCCTGACTTCCTTCTTTCCTTTCTTCCTCTCCCCTCCCCTCCCAGCTCTTCCTCTTCTTGTTTCCACAAATACTGAGTTCCTATTATGTTTCAGGAACTATATAATACTCAGGATATGATGACATTGGGTTTCCAGATAGACAAGGATTCTGACTTCACAGAATTTACACTCTTGTGGGGAAAGCAGGGTATTCATTAAGTATTAAGAATGATGTGTTGTGTCAGGATGGGCTGAAATGTCTATCTGTATCCTTTTTGGTGGACAAAGGGGAAATTTGGGGACTAGAAAAGAGTGATTTCAGTGTGCAGCTATTTATTGCTTACTATTATGAGGAAGGGAGAGGACAAATGGATACTGTTTTGCAAGGAATTGGGTTAAATTCATATTAATAAGAGAAATCAAACTTTAAAAAAGTATATAGACCAGACATAGAGAACAGACTCGTGGTTGCCAAGTGTCGGGGAGGAGGAGGGAGAGGGGTGGACTGGGAGTTTGGGGTTGGTAGATACAAACTATTACATTTGGAATGGATAAACAACAACTGTATAGCACAGGGAACTATATTCAGTATCCTGTGATAAACCATATGGAGAAGAATATGAATAAAAGAATGTCTCTATGTGTTTAACTGAGTCACGGCTGTACAGCAGAGATTGCCACAACTTGTAAATCAACTCTACTTCAATTAAAAAAAAAGAAAAAAATGTATATAGACCAGATATCTTGATCTTTAGAAAGAAATTTACCTTTATCGTGGTAAGTTCTGTGCTGTCAGCTGGGTTTGATTCTGCTGTAATGTGGGGACTGCCAGGAAGTGACTCCAGACTTCCTCACTTTCTCTCTAATCCCTACGTATAGGTCTCCCTTGACTTCAGGAGGGTGGTTGAGGGTGATGAACGTTATTGTGCTATTGGATGTTAATTGTTATCAATATTTTTACTAAACAAATTAGTCTGTCATGAATCTAGCTATAGCTTAAAGAGTTTTAATCAAAACAGCATACATTTGTGGTTTTTCAAAGCTGTATCTTAGTTTAAAAAACACAATGGAGGACTATTACAACATTGAAGATGAACAATCAAAGCCCTTAGTTTCTTTAAAAAGGAAGAGGTGGTTGTCAATGATGAAACAATGAATACTTCTTGGGTTGGTGCAATTTAAAAATATCCAAATATCTCAAGACATAAAACCTGTGTGCTTCTATCTTTTACTCCATGGACTTGTGTGAACTGGGATTTCTACATAATGCCATAGTGAAAATAAATATAAGAATAATCTTGGTACTGTACCAGAATCAGAAATATTCCTAACAGTTAGAGGCTTTGTAATAAAAGAAAAAGCCACTTCTTTTAGTAAAATATTTTATATCCAAAATTTATAACAAAAATGTAAGATTAAATATATAATTTTGATCTTAATAAATTAAGATGATTTAAGTCTCTAATATTTTTGTTACTTCATAAAGTAAAATATGCTGAACATTTCTAGCATCAATTTAACACATCTGAATGACTTTTCTTCTTTTTTTAAAATTATGTTCATTCAATCATGGATTATGTCATATAAGCGCCTATCTCAATGTGTTCAATGAACTACCTGTTTTTTTTGTTTGTTTGTTTGTTTTTTTGTGGTACGCGGGCCTCTCACTGCTGTGGCCTCTCCCGTCGCGGAGCACAGGCTCCGGACGCGCAGGCTCAGCGGCCATGGCTCACGGGCCCTCGCCGCTCCGCGGCACGTGGGATCTTCCCGGACCAGGGCACGAAGCCGTGTCCCCTGCATCGGCAGGCGGACTCTCAACCACTGCGCCACCAGGGAAGCCCAATAAACTACCTTTTAATCAAATACCATGGTCAGATGAGTGGTGGTGGCTAGTGGTGGGGAGGATGCCGCTTTAGAATGAAGGCTCTTCAGTAGGAGAGTAAGACTACTAGTTTCATAAGTGTGATGCAGTGGGATTAGAAGAAGCTTAGAGAGAGTAAACAGTTAAACATTTTAATCATGCAGTTATTGGAGTAGCAACATAGAGGAATGAAACCAGTCCTTGATGGGGCCCATTGGTGGAGAAATCTAATCAAGCAGCACACACCTGAGGTTGGCCGGTTCCTTCCCTCTTACGGCTAATGTATCACAGGTGGAAAGTTGCAACCCTATAGAAAGTTACAGAGAAAGACTATGCAGCAAAGTAGGCCAGGGCCCTGGAAGGAGAGACGTTGGAGTTCAAATTTATGCTTCTTATGCTCTCGACCTGTGTCTCACCACCTCAAGTTGGAGTTGGGAAGGATGCCCTCTTAATTCTTTCATTTTATACCTTCCTTTGGAACAATGCAATCCATTGAAAATAAACAAATGCATCTTTTAAGAACCATTTTACTAATAAAATTAAAATCTGAACTTGTTACATAGTTTTTGCATTTGAACTTCACCTGGCATTTCCTTCCTGTTCTTCTTCCTTGATTCCGTTCCCTGCCACATGGTAATGCAAAATGCTAACCATGTATATATCTTTCCATGCTTAAGTAGCTCTCTTGCATGTTTCTTTTTGTCATTGTTTTAGAAAATGAGATATTATTCCCATTTCAGTGCATTTGGATTTTATCAATTAATAATTCCTATGGAAATTTCTCTAGGATAATTGGGTTTTCTAGGTATAGAGACATATATCAGGAATAACATTTTTTTTTTATTTTTTTTTTTATTTTTGGTATGCGGGCCTCTCACTGTTGTGGCCTCTCCCGTTGCGGAGCACAGGCTCTGGACGCGCAGGCTCAGCGGCCATGGCTCACGGGCCCAGCCGCTCCGCGGCATGTGGGATGTTCCCGGACCGGGGCACGAACCCGTGTCCCCTGGATCGGCAGGCGAACTCTCAACCACTGCGCCACCAGGGAAGCCCTTTTTTTCTTTTTTAATGCTCACATTCATTGTTTTACTTTTTTTTACTTACTGGATTTTCTAGATGCTTCATGGAAATAATAAAGAATGTTGGTATTATATATCATTTCCTCTGTAATACTGGTTAATTTAAACTACTATATGACATTAGGATATCATATCAGCATCTGTTGATATGATATAAATATTTTGACGTGTCATCAAATTCTGTTTGCAAAAATTTATTTTTAGTTTTAGCATCTATGTTCACGAGGAGAATTGGTTCATTATTCACTCAAATGTTGTTTATTGAGCACCTGCTTTATGTCATGTATCAGTCTGGGTACTAAGGTTGTAGTATTTAAGCATAAACATCCCTGTCCTTATTGAGTTTATATCTAAGGGAAAGGGCTCTTTCTCGTTCTCCTCCCCCTCCTCCTCCATCCCTTCTTCCTCCTTCTTCTCTTCCTCTTTTTCTTCTTCTTTTTTGTTTAATACCTTTATCAGTTTTGATGTTAGAATAATTTTATCTTCCAAAATTTAACTGAAGAAATTTTCATCTTCTTCCTAGGAATGGAATAGATTAAATAAATATTTGTCTGTTCTTTAAAAGATAGCAATACATGGCTATGACCCCATCTGGTGTTGATGCATTTTTGAATGGTGGATTTTTAATCTCCTTTCCAGTTTTATGATGATTGGAATATTTGAGTTTTCCATTTTTTCTTAGGTCAGTTTAAGGAATTTGTGTTTTCAGGAAAAGCGTTTTCAAATGTGTTTTGAATGCATCGTAAACAGTTTCGTGATATATTCTCTTACAATTCTTTTAATTGCTCCTACATCTGTGGTTATATTTCCTTTCTCAACTTTAATATTGCTTTACTTTTGCTCTTGTTTTTTCTTATTCAAGGGCCTGATGGAAAAAATTATCTATTTTTTTCCTCCAAAGAACCAGTTTGTGGATTTCTTTATCTTTTTTCAATCCTTTCTTTTTCTGTTTTCTATTTTATTAGTTTCAGTTTTTATCTTTATTCTCTCATCATTGCTTCTTGGTTCATTTTATGGTTCTTTTTTTCCAATTTCTTAAGATTAGTACTTAGCCCCTTTGCATTATTCTTTCTTACTCATTCTTCTTTAATAATAAAGGCATTTAAGGCTATAACATTTCTATGAAGTAGAGCTTTCCCTTTATCCCATAGATTCTGAATAAATGGTTCTCTCGTTGCTTTCTAGATGATACTGATTTCTCTTTTATTGTACTTTTTTGATCTAAGACTTACTAGAAATATGTTTCTAAATTTTTCAGTGGTAATTCTTGTCACTTATTTCAAGTTTCATTGGTGTATGATCAAAAAGACATAGTTTGTAAAAATCTCCATTTTTGGAATCCATTAAGTTTTTGAATCGAGTACATGATTAACTTTTCAATGTGTTCCATTGATATACAAGAAAAATTGTATTCTCTATTTGATTGTAAATGTTCATGCAGAGACTCAGTTGTGTGCTGATAAATGTTTAACAACCAAATCTCTAGATACGATTTGTAGCACTTGCAGCATTTGTTTTCCATGGTGTATATACTCCCACCATGACCTATTTCTAGTTACTAATGTGACATCACTGAATATGAAGATGGGAAGAGATACTCACAATTGGCTTCCAAAAGCTGGTACAAAGTAGTTCCTCTACCCTACCACATAATTTATTAAATCAACCTTATTGACCGTATTATTAAATTTTTCTGTAATCTTAACTAACTTTTGACCACTAGGTTCTGAAAGAATTGTATTGAAGTCTCCTATTTCAATTGTGTTTTTCATTGTATATCTAATAGTTTTTGATTCACATATTTAGCTGCCATTTTTTTAGTATGTATAGTTTGTAGTGATTTAGCTAAATTCCTCAATTATACTTTTTATCACAACATAGTGATTCTTTCAATCGTATATAATGTTTTAGCCTTAAATCCCACCTTATATGTTATTAATGTTGCCATTTCTGTTTTCTTGTCTGGTATCTCCTTGCTGATCCTTTTATTTTCCATCTTCTTTACCACTTCAACTTAAATGCAAGTTTGCAAATAACAAAATGTATACAACGTAATCCAACAGTCTTTATATTTTAATAGGACACTTCAGTCTGTTCACATTCAATGTAATGACTTTATTTCTTCAATCTTTGCATTTCATTAGTCATTTTCTTATTTCTTCTGTTTCCTTTTTCTTAACCTAGCTGGTTTAAGTTTATATTCATTCTATTTCTTTCCCCTTGTTAAATTGGAATTTCTTGTGTATTTTTCTCTTTTGGTAATGGTTGTCTTCCACCAGATGAATAAACGCTGACTTGGTGTGCACTCATTGTTTGATGCTGTTTCTCCAGTTCTCCCTGCCCTACAGGATGAGACAATTAAAATACTTTCACTTCTCTCACCTTTCTTTCCCCCCTTGCTACCATTAATCTTTTGGGATGCTTTTCGTTTTTCCAAATGCCTAGATTTTGTTATCACAATTTAGTACCTATTAGAGTTTTCCTTAGAGTATGTCCCTGCTATTTCAAAAGCCTTCTTTACCCCTTAGGTAAGCAATATCATGTAGTTTATCCTCATCTTTTTATGTCTGTATCTTCAGCTGTCGATCTCTATCCATCTTTATGTACAAATACATCATGTTTATTTTGTTCACTGCTCTTTTATCTTTCTCTTTTTCCATCTTTCGGTCAGTTTTTGGTTTCACTTATTATTCGGTTAATGTTCCTGAGTATTTTCCTTAGATGGAATATGTAGGTGAGTCACTCTCTGGGGTCTTGCACATCCTGAAAGGGCAATCATAGCTTGATAGGGCATAGAATTAAGTTGCAGTCTTTGCTCTTAGCTGTAGATTTGATTCTACTGTTTAACTTCCAATGTTATAAATGCTAGCCTGATTTTTTTCTTCCTGTGTAGGTAGTAGTTGTTATTGTTGTTTTGCTTGGGAGCTTGTAAGATCTCTCTCTTTAACCTTAAGAGATCAAAAACTTTATTACAGCATGCCTCAGCGTCTCTTTTTCTTATTCCTGTCCTTGAAATCAGAGAGCCCTTTCAATCTGCAGACCAAAGTCTTCCATTATCTCAGAAACATTTTTCCTTTTATTTGTCTAAATACTACCTCCTCTCATCTATCTCCCTTTATCCTTCTAAAATATCTGTTATTCATATATTAGGTCTCCTGGATATAGACTCTAAGTCTCTAAAATTTTTCTTCATGATTTCCATTTCTATAGTTTTTTCCTCAAGTGTTTGGGATATTTCTTGCAGGCCATTTTCTAGGCTACTAATTCTGGTTTCAATATGGATCCTCCACAAAAAAGTGAAATGCTACTTTTGTTTGATAAAATTTCTCCTTTAAATTTATCCAGAGTTCCAGAGCATGGATGGATTTTGAAGTCACAGAACAGGTGTTGGAACCCTAGTTCATCCCTTATTAGCTTGTGACCTTGGGAAACGTACTTGCTCTCTTAAAGCTCAGTTTCCTCATCTATGAGGAAGGGACTGATTTCACCCACTTAACTATAATAATGATTAAAAAATAGGAAATAAAGAGATTTTTTTCAAGGTATTGGAACCTAAGGAATGTTCCATAAATATTTCAGTGTATCATTTGATTAAGCATCAATATCAACTAATATAAAATTGAAGCATGTGGGAGGAAATCATAAGGCTTTTCTCAACATTAAGTTTGTGTTTTTATGTATTTTTTGGTGGCCTTTGCATAAAAAGCTTTTAAACTTTGCTAATAAATCATAATGTCTTACAGTTGTATAGCACTTGACAGTTTATCTATAGCCCTGTGCTTGAAAACTGGTATTATTATTATAATGCAACTGCTGTGGTAAACGATTTTCCAAAGATTACCTGGCGAACAGGTGGTATAGACTGCACTCATTCTCCGGTCTGAAAACTTTTCTCCTGTTGAGAGTCAACGCCACAAACATCAATAACTGAGTTTTTAAAAATATAATCATCAGTTTCTGGTGGGATTTTATTCATTCAGTTATGTATACAATGAATAGAAATGAAAATATATGCGGAAGCATCTGACTATGTACCATACATTGTTTTGAGTGCTAAGGAGAAAATTGTGAACCAAAACAGATGTTTTTTCTGCTCTCGTGAAGTTTACAGTCTAGTGAGAGAGAGATACATTAATCAAAAAATCATATACATACATGTAAACTTACCACTGAGAAGAAGTACATATGACAAGATGATTTTACATTTTTAGGAAGGTTAGAAAAGGCTCCCTGAGGAAATGATGATCAGGTGAGATCAGAAGGAAGAGTTCTGTTAGCCAGGCAAAGGAGGGTTAAGTGGGGAGAGGAGCCTTCAAGACAGAGGGAATAGTATACACAAAGGCCCTGTGTCAGGAGGAAGCCTTTCAGATTAAGAGACTGAAATCACACCAGTGTCACCAGAATGAGAGTAAAGGGGAGTGTGTGAAGGGAGGCTGCAGGGGACCAGAAGACGCAGGATTCTGAGAGGCATGTTAAATACTTTGGTCTTTACCTTAGAGTAATAGGACACCAGCTAGAGTTTTAAGAGGAGTATGTACGTGTGGTGTGTGTGTGTGTGTGTGTGTGTGTGTGTGTGTATGTGTGAGCTGATTGGCACACATCTCTCTGGCTGAGGTGGGAAGAAGGGATTAGAAGAAGGCCAGAGTGGACACAGGTAAACCAGCCACCTGACTGGTTTGAAGAAATCCAAATGAGGGACAATGGTGACTTGGAGCAGGAGGTGGCAGTGAAGACAGAGGGAAAGGGGCAGATTTGTGAGGTAATTAGGAGGTCAAAGAAATAGGACCTGATGATGAGTTATATATAGAGGCTGAGGTAGAGAGACTTGCCAGTATTAGCTCTAAATTTCTAGCTTGAATAGCTGGGGGATGGTAAATGCACTTATTGTTTTGAGGAATTCCAAGAGAATGCCAGATTTGGGGAGATTAAGATTATGAATTTGGTTGAGTATATTCAATTTGACACCATATAGAGATACGAGTTTCACTTGGCTACATATGTCAGATGTAGGAGTAGTCTGGGCTGGAGATAAAACATGTTGAGTCACCTACTGTAAATGGTTATTGATGTCGTGGGTGTAGTTGGAATGATGAATAAGATTCCATCTCTTGTACTTTCTCAGACATTTATTTCTGGAACTCTTTTGACCACTTTATTTAGGAGATTTAGGAGCAGGGGCCAGCATGACATCCTACATCGCCAGGATTAGCTGCATCTCCACAGACACTGGTAGAGAGTGCCTAGGAGCCTGTCTGCACCAACACTTGCATTGTAGAACTGTGAGGTAAGGAAAGCAGGTAGACTAGATGGCCCAGTCCTATGAGGAGAGGATGCATACTCAGATACTATACTGTGAAGAAGGAGGGAATAGGAGAACACTGAAATTGAAGAAAGAGGGAAAAACTGCTGAGAGGGAGTTTGAGTAGACTATTCGCTCAAATGAAGTTTTACACTGAAGGAGGCTTTTTAAAACTTGAAACTAAATAACCTTGAATTGTCATATTTATTTCCTTTTTCCACTATTGGTGGGAATGAGAGCCCCATAAAGATGTGATTAGTTATGGGACAAAAAGGACTTTTGTTTTTGTTGCACATGTGAATTGTATTGCACATATCAGTGCCCTGCCTCACCGTAATTTAAATTGTCTGACCCATAAGCTTGTTATGGACCTCACTGGATCTTGTAGATTTACTGAGCTAGTTAGTGGCAGAGCTGGAGGAAAACCAAGCTCTTTCCACCATGTTTCCTCTCAAGAACTATAATTAGATAAAGTTTGTATTCCTTTAAAATTTATTCTCCTGGGTATTTTATATCCATGCCATGTATTAATTCAGTCATATAAGTACTTGTTTTGATCTATAAATAGTTTTAACTTTTGTGTATTTTTGTGTATGTGCAGCTAGTAATTGGGCTTTGATATATGTATATATATATATACACACACACATATTAGGCATTATACAATGTCATATGAGATATTATATAAGTTATACATTATAAATTATATAATTTATATAATGTATGTGTTGTATATGTATAATACTATGTATTCTATATGTATTACATAGTATCTCTCTCTATATATACTTTCTGGATTTAGTTCCCATGAGTCCAGAAGTGGTAGCTGGGCTACTCAGTCAGCAGTTTCTACCATCTAATAGCAGCAAAATCCAGAAGGATGAGGTAATCTCAGCTGCATTTAGATAGCTGCATTTATTTTTATTTTTACTATTATTTTTTAATAGATCTTTATTGGGGTATAACTGCTTCGCAATACTGTGCTAGCCTCTGTCACCCAACAAAGTGAATCAGCCACATGCACACGTACATCCCCATATCCACTCCCTCTCGAGCCTCCCTCCCACCCTCCCTATCCCACCCCTCTAGGTGGTCACAAAGCACCCAGCTGATCTCCCTGTGCTATGCGGCCGCTTCCCACTAGCTATCTATTTTACATATGGTAGTGTATATATGTCGATGCTACTCACACTTCGCCCCAGCTTCCCCCTCCCCTACAGTGTCCTCAAGTCCATTCTCTACGTCTATGTCTTTATTCCTGTCCTGCCACTAGGTTCATCAGGAAATTTTGTTTTTAGATTCCATATATATGTGTTAGCATACGGTATTTGTCTTTCTCTTTCTGACCAGTCTCTAGGTCCATCCACCTCACTACAAATAACTCAGTTTCGTTTCTTTTTATGGCTGAGTAATATTCCATTGTATATATGTGCCACATCTTCTTTATCCATTCATCTGTGAATGGACACTTGGGTTGGACAGCTGCATTTAGATTGCAAACACAGCACAGCAAAAACTTGACGGTAGAGGACAGCTGTCTCTACTCCTCACCTCGTGCTAAGGGACTGACCAGGAAATGAACAGCTTCAAGAGGCCTGGCCTTGCGAACATAAATCCGTAAGTTCGTTGTTACCATTATTCTTCAAGCGTGAGTCCAACTAGCTCATCAGTGTGCACCTGAAATATTCACTGCATGACCTTTCAGCAGACTCTGGGGGCTGGTTCAGGGAATAACGATCTAGCCCGGCCTCAGCCAGCTGTCTGCACCCAACTCAGCTCTCTTCAGACTAACCGTGAAATCTTGGAGAAACAGAACGCCAGTGTTGAGATTTTTATTCCAGATCACACAGCCAGTGACTCAGGACATGTTTTATGCCGAGGTTCATACTCTAGCCATGGTCCACACTGCCTCTCGTGGGGCAGTGATTAAAAACCAGGGCACGGGAGCCAGACAGTCCTGGATTCAAATCTTCTACTTTCAAGCTGCTTGGAAAAGCTAATTAGCATATTTGAACTTCAGTTTGCTTGACTGGAAGTCGGAGATGATAATACTTGTATCATGGAGTTATTATGAGGAATAACTGCGATAGCAGAGGCCACATGCCCTTGGCACTACATCTGAAATGTAGTTAGGACTCAATAAATAGCACTTTATTGATGGTGCTGTTTTTCTTTTTTTTGCTGTTATTTCCTTTAGAGGAATATTCCTCTGAAACTGCCATAAAAGTTCCAAATTCTTAAAGAAACCAACACCTAACTTACAGCTCTCTGTAAATGACTTTTGGTGCTGATAGTAAGTATAAACCATGTGGGTTCTGCACGAAGCACTTCAGTTGAAAGTTCCCCCTCAGGTTGGGTTTAGCATACCACTCTTCGGGTGCAGCATGAATTTCCTCAGCTAGTTTAAGCACTGACCTTTTAATATTTTCACTAAGGGAAATGGAGATAAATAACACAATCTGAATCTGATAAACCCCTGGGAGATCAAGGAGGGTAATATTGTTGCTGACAAGTTAGTAAAATCACAAGTACCCTGAGAAATTATATACGGGCTCTAATCCTCATCCAGGGCTAATGTCCAGAATCTTCTGAAATAGGCATTGCATACTAAGGAAGCTTCTTGCTGCAACTCTTTTTGTTTTTTTGCGGTACGCGGGCCTCTCACTGTTGTGGCCTCTCCCGTTGCGGAGCACAGGCTCCGGACGCGCAGGCCCAGCGGCCATGGCTCACGGGCCCAGCCGCTCCGCGGCATGTGGGATCTTCCTGGACCGGGACACGAACCCGTGTCCCCTGCATCGGCAGGCGGACTCTCAAGCACTGCGCCACCAGGGAAGCCCTTTGCTGCAACTCTTGTGGGGCATGGTGGTAGACACCATTGATCTGAATGTCTGTTCAGGTCCTCTTTTCTGAGAACTGTGTACCCTACTCTGATGCAAGAAACCAGATACCTTAGTGAGGCTGTGTGGGTCAAAAACAATATGCGCTGTGCAAAGGAAGAGGCTACCTGGCTCAGAGCTTGTCCCCTGGCTGCACTGGATAAAGGCTGTCTCCATGGTGCTTAGTGAGGAGGAACTGGATACTGACATCAGAACCCAAAGGGCGTTTCTGTTCCCCTGTGTACTGGCTGGTATCATCACCATCATATTTGTCTTTACTAACAGCATCATCTTCACCGAATCCTCCTAAAGGTGAAAACAAAACCTAACCTTATCGAACCAAAGGAAATCGACTTAATTCCAGCAAGGGTGCTGACACCCAATGTAGGAAACTCTGGTAAGTAGTTGCCCTGCCCTCTCACAGAAAACAGTTCCATGAGGCTTCCTTCTGTCTCTGTGTGGGAAGTATCACTCTTTTAAAGCAGAACCCAACCCTGGCTTGGTCTCAGAACCCTAAGGAGATTAGACTTCCCTTGATATTTCTGAAGCATGTTTGGAGTTTAATTTAATTGCATTTAATTGGGCCTCAGAGTAGCTCCAGATTTCTGGGACAGTCCTGGAGCCCACTTCGGCTTCTGCCCACAGGAATTTCCTTAAACTGAGTCCCTTGTGGTTTCAGTCCAGCAGCTTCCTGGAATAACAGAGCCCACCAGAGCCATTTCTTTTCCTCCTAGAGATGATGAAAGGGCAGGCTGCTGAGAGAGGCTCTCCTCCCTCCCATTTTCACCGCCACCTTGTATCTAATACTGTGTTTCTCAACCCTATCAGACCCAACACCTAATTAAAGCAAACATTTGGTAATGTCCTCTTTATTATCCTAAAGGAAGAGACCCATTCACACAATTAAAATGTTAATGTAACATTTTAGTGATAATATACAGGAGAAATAAAAAGAAAACAATTTCTGCTAAAGTGATATATGTATTTCAATATGTAAATTTTTAAACATAACCACAGTGGAAGACCTAATGAAGACATTCTATACCAGGCATTTATATATAGAACCTCTGTAAATGCATAGACTACAAGTGCAAGCTCACACAGTCTAAGATCCAAAAGCTACCGTCCGTGTTGCTCTAAGTCATGATACTGTGCAGAATGGTGAACGGCTTGTGGAAATTTCAAACGATGAAACCTCTTTGGTTTTCCTGGCGGTTGTTGTTTCTGCAGAATTAATAGCTTGCAGAAGATACTTTGTGTTTCTGTGTAACACAGCACTGTGTTCTAGGCTCTGATAAGTCTGCCCAGATTTTGCTCGTCATGGCTCTCTGGAGTGATGTGTAAAAAGCGTGTGGAATGGAGGATAATTGTTTGGTAGGTGGGACCCTGCCAGGTATTGTGGGACGTCTGGCAATTCTTGCCTCTCCCCATTTCTGTGACAACCAAAAGTATTGGTTGGAGAAATTCTCTTTGAGGATTTCAAACATTGGCATTTAAATCTGCACAACTCAACTCATAACCCACACTGCTCTTCTTAGTGATGTAAGCAGTATGCTGGTGACTTTGCAAAGAGTGATAGAGATTTGTCTTCTTATTTTAATAGCCTTTCTAGGCTGCTGGCCTGTGTTCAGGTTGGAGTCCAATCCCCAGGGCATTTTCCTCGATACTAGCCCCTGATAAAAGTGCATTTCCATTCCAACCCCCGGCCTAACGTCTGCCCCCTGCCCTCCCTGGTGGGGCTCTGTTTCACATGACCACACACAGGCTGAGATGGCTAAGACCTGTCATCCAGGCCAAGCCTTAGGGACAGGGCCCTTCGGTCATTTGCCCTCTCCCTTCCAGGAGAAGCCTTCTGACTAATAATATTAAGTTCTTTTTCTCTAGTCATGAATCTTTCTCTAGAAAGAGCCTATTAGCCACCAATAAATTGAGCCCAATGGCATGAGCAGACAAATGGAATTAAAAGTAGGTCAGGCCTGGTATGTTCCAGCTGTCGTTTCCGGCAGTGGAGGAACGACAGGCACTTGAATTGAAAGGGAATGGGGCGCCTGTCAGCAGTGTTTCCCGCTGCTTTGCCCTTCCAACCATCCCCTTTTGGAAATAGCCTTGCTGGGCCGGGCCTCCCTCTGACTGAGTGCGGTCCAGTTCTTAGTCCAGCTGCCAGGTCCTTTTTGATCTGGCTCTTCCCACGTCAGTGTCCTGTGCTGTGACACCTTTCCTGCCCACTTAATGCCCTGACAACACCAGAGGGCTCAGTAGTATCCACATCTTTACCCAAGCTGTCCTGCTTAGGAGGCCTGCCCTCCCCACCTCCTGATTCATTCCAGAAAATTGCAGCTCAGACAGTGCCTCCCTCCTAAAAGCCCACCTTTACCACCCGCAACGTTGGCATTAACCCTTCCATTTTCTGTGCAGACTCAGCACATTTTACATGCATCCATCCTTACACATTCCACACTGCGTTACAATTTAATTACTTGTCTCCCCCGTCACTCTGGGAGTTCCTTGTGAACCTAACCCATATCTTTAAAAAAAAAACAAAAAAACTTTAGTTTCTACAACAGTTTTATATTTGTAGATAAATTGCAAAGATAGTACGGAAAATTCCCATATACCTCTGCAGTTTCCCCTGTTATTAATGTCTTACGTTGGTACGGTACATTTGTTACAATGAAGGAACCAATATGGTATGATATTATTACTAGATCCATACTTAGATTTCTTTTGTTTTCACCTAATATCCTTTTTTGTTCTAGGAACCACCACATTACATTTAGTTTCCATGTCTCCTTAGACTCTTCTTGGCTATTACAGTCTTTCAGAACCTTCTTGTATTCAATAACCTTGAAAGCTTTGAGGAGTACTGGTCAGGTATTTTGTTGAATGTCCCTCAACTGTGATATATCTGATGTTCTTCTCATGAGTTGGCTGGGGTTAGGGTACATGCAGTTAACCTGACGCATCACTGTTGATGGTGACCTTGGTCATCTGGCTGAGGTAGTGTTTTGT